AAATAAATAAGAGCCTATACTGGGCTCCAGACTTGAGTACTTATGCTGCATGCAACATGGCTAAAGTGATTCACAGATGTCAACTAATGCTTCTGTCAAACTACATTTTAATCTCTCTGAGCACTGGAGACGAACAGATTAAAGCAGAGCTGCTTATGAAAAAAGCTGGTTGGAACAAGCAGAAAGTGTCTTTGGCACCTTTCAATCGAAAGGTACTGTTCCCACAAATATCAATTCAAAGGCTATTGTATAGTGTTGGAAGAGGAAGGCTTAGTTTCACATGCTATGCTCATGGATGTTGAGTGCCAGTATGGATTCTAATAAGGTTCCTAAACACACAGGGAAGAGAAGAGGGAAAGAACTGGAGCTGTGAGCAGAAGAGGAAAAGGTATGAGCAAGAACACAAAGGAGAAGTAGGCAGCAGGACCCTCCTTACTTCACCCCAAAACAGTTCTATCAGAAATGATATGTAACCAATAATCTATATATCTAATTCCGAAGTCACCCACTGCATGCGAATACTTATTTCCGCACATCGGGGCACCTGGGGGGGAGGGAGATGTTTGTGCACACTTGGGGCAGTCCCCAGGTGTGCACAAAAATCTGAAACCTTTCAAAAAATATCGGGGGGATACTTAAATCCCCCCGAAAGTGACAGAGCATCCCCTGCGCATGCGCACGGAACGCTCTACGAACTACCTCGCCGCCGGGGGGGCGGAGAGAAGTGAGCCGGGGGGGGGAAGAGAGAGAAGCCCGCTTAACCCTTTCGCCGCCCTGGCCTCCTTTGCTGCAGCCCTCTGGAGCCTGATCTCAAAGGCAGCTGGCTCTTCGCATCTGCATCCCCTGGGCTGCGTTATCCCGGATTCAGGGGCACCGTCAGAATGCGGCCAGGCAAGGAGTTCTTAAGTTCTAGCTAGCTTTAGAAAACAGAAAAGACAACGGTCTGGAAGAATTGGCTGGGAGGGAGGGCGCAGCCGGCGCTCAGATGTGGCTTTAGGAAGGGGAGGCCCCCCGAAAAACACCTCCCTTCCCCTTCATTCCGAAGCTTCCCTTGCGCCTCTCCCTTTTGGCGTTCCAGAGGTGCAGGCGCGTTGCGGGAGGGAGCCAGAAAATTGGCTCTGCCTCCCTTGGCGGCGGCGGGGGGTGCCGGGGGAGATGGGGGCGCGCTGGCTTCCCGAGCCGGTCCGGCAAGGGGAGGCGGCGGCGGCTGATGAATATTCAGGGATGCCTGCACTGCCCGAGGAGGAGCCCACGTCCTCTTTTGCCGTGCTCCTGCCGACCTGGCCATGCCTAGAGCTCCTTTGCCCCTGGAGGGAGCGCGCTGGAAGTCTTCTGCTCTCGCTCGCCGGCTTCGGAGCCGGGGGGGAGAGAGAAGCTTCGGAGTGGGGGGAACCGGCGGGATGGGGGGGAACTTACCTCCTCCTGCTGCTTCCTCCTCTGCCTCATAAGTGTAGAGCTCCCCCCCCGCGAGTATCGCGGGTCCAGCCCCTTGTTAAATCTCTATTTATAAACTCTCTGGAAATCCAATCTGCCCTATTTGGGCAAATTAATCAAGAGGGCAGTTGCGATTCAATTGCAGGGTTTTTTGGATGACACCTCCACATTAGACCCCTTCCACTCCGGCTTCCAACCAGGCCATGGGATGGAGACGGCACTGGTTGCCCTCACGGATGACCTCAAGAGGCATCTGGATCAGGGCAGTTCAGCAGTGTTGTTGTTGTTGGACCTGTCAGCTGCATTCGCGCATTCGACACGGCGGACTACCAACTACTGACCCACTGCCTCGCCGACACTGGGATCCAGGGGTCTGCCGCCTTGCAGTGGCTCTCCTCATTCTTAAAGGGTTGGGGACAAAGGGTGGCCGTAGGGGAACAGCTGTCCTGAACGCACCCACTGGTCTGCGGAGTGCCCCAAGGAGTGGTGCTTTCCCCGATGTTATTTAACATCTATATGTGCCCCCTTGCCCAGGTTGCCTGGAGGCATGGGCTGGTGTGCCAGTGCCGGAGGTTAGGAGTCTGGGAGTGCTCCTGGATGCCTCCTTAACAACAGAGGCCCAGGTAGCAGCCACTGTGAAGTCAGCCTTTTATCACCTTCAGCTTTAGGCAGTTGATTCCCTTCCTCGAATGCAATGACCTAGCAACAGTAATCCATGCAATGGTCACCTCGAGACTGGATTACTGTAATGCTCTCTACATGGGGCTGCCCTTTTCCCAAATCTGGAAGCTGCAGTTGGTGCAGAATGTGGCGGCAGGCTGCTGTTGGGTCTCCCTATGCGGGAGCACATCCAGCCTGTGCTAAAAGCACTGCACTGGCTGCCTATAGCATACCGAATTCTGTTCAAGGTGCTGGTTCTTACCTTTAAAGCCCTACATGGTCAGGTGCCTACATACCTAAGGGACCACCTTTCCTCACGTTTCCCAGAGAGCACTATGATCGGGGTCCCAAAACCATCTGGCCCTTCTGGGCCCCAGAGAAGCCAGGCTGGCTGTGACAAGGGCCAGGGCCTTTTCAGTGGTGGTTCTGTACTGGTGGAATGAGCTCCTGGAGGACATCAGGGCCCTGCGGGACCTTTTACAGTTCTGCAGGGCCTGCAAGATGAAGTTCTTCCACCAGGCCTTCGATTAAGGAGCCGCACCCAATAAATTGAGGCCCTGGCCCCAATATTTATTTATTTTATTTATCATTCAATTTATATCCCGCTCGAACCGCGAAGGGTCTCTGAGCGGCTTACACACAATCATTGGTTCCTAACTAAGGCCACAATTATACGGGGGGTGACTTCCTACCAGCACCCGGCAGCAGGGCTTGTTGTTGGGAGTCTGGCTTCTTCTGGTGGCCTCGGATGTTGGCGCTCCACTTCCAATGTCCTGGGGCAGATTTCTTCCTGTTCCGTGGCTTCCTCCGGCGGGTTCCTCCAGTGCACAGCCCTGCGACCACCGCAGCTCCAACCATTGTCCTTTTCGGCTCCATTGCGCTGCGCCGACACGCTGCTGTACCTCCGTGGCTCCGCCTCTGCCGGATTCTGCCACTCACGCTGCGCTCGCAGGGCACTCCTCAGCCGCTCCATCGTTCCACCTGCCACTCCACCATCGCCGCTCCGTTGCTGCCACCGCCGATGCCTCTGCTGCACTAGAGGAGGGTGCCCCCTGACACCCCCTGACACCTAGGGCAGGTACCCATTTATCTACTTGCTAGATATTAATGCTTTCGAACCGCTGGGTGGGCGGGTGTTAATAATATTAACAGTATTATTAATAGCCTGATACAACCCAGACTATGACATTAGCTGACTGTATATGCCTGTGGATGCTGCTAATGATATGAACCATACTAGCACTTTATATTATGTTTTATAATGATATTGTTGTGATTTTACAACTTCTCTGTTTTAGTAGTTTTATACATTCCATGTAAGCCACCCTGAGCCTGCCCTGGCAGGGCGGGCGGGATATAAATTACATAATTAATTAACCATAGGTATAAGCACTTTGTACTGTAGACACATACATAAGCATGACAAAGAAGATGGTCCCTTTTATGTAGATCAGCCTCTCAAGCAAAGGTCTCCACGTGGCTCTTACAAGCCACTGCAAACTTACTTCCTTTAGAAGCAGAAAAAGCTGCATCTCAAAATTAAAATAAAATTGTGGCTTAGGAAGGGAACTGATAGCAGGACTGAATCTCTTTTCTTCTTGAGACTGCTGCTGGTGGTGGAAGGCTAGGCAGGTACTCCTGCTGGGGAGGAGTGTTATGGGAACAGGCACATCCCATCTGAGGAGTGTCCTTGATATGGCAGAGAACACAGAAATGAGATTAACAGCACGGTTCCTTCAATGAACTTGTTTTTTCTTCTGTCCTCCTCATCACAACAATAAACAATTCACCAGGTTTTAATTAGCTATGGTTGATTGAGCATTATTACTGCATAGGTTATAATTGGGAAAAATCTCTACATAATCAACCAGAGAACCACAACAAAGCCCTCCCCATCAGCTATTCTTGGACAAATTTTATGTAAGATGCTGTTATTTCAAACACATGCAGCAAGCAATCACAATCACATCTCAGAACAGTTTTCCAAAGTGGGGTGCTCAGTCAACTAGAAACAGAAAAATTAAGAGTTCAAAGAGAATATAGGATTATTAGAGAGAAGACAGTTGGAAAAGTACCCACGACATATATCCAGCACAAGTATACAGGCAGAAAAATGTACATATGAAACAAAAAGAAAATAGGAAGAAAGGAACTGCCAGCTTGGAACCTGGGTGAGAGTAAGGGCAAGTAATGTGTTCCTTTTAAGTCAGTGTAGTGTACCTGAACACAAAAGCTGCTAAATACCCTTCCTCATGAGCTGTTCACACCTCCCTCTCCAAAGCTAAGGACATAACTCTACCAAAATAAACACCAAAATAAGGTGCAATGTAACAACAACAACAACAACAACAACAACATCACATCAACCATACTTTGAGACCTCTTTCTACAGATAGAAAATCAAAGACATTTCAAAGGGAGAATGGCTTACCTCCACTTTAGTCAAAATCAAAGCCACCTAACAAAAGTTTTTGAGCCATAATGCCCTCCTAATGGGCAGCAGAGTCCATGCAAAATTACTCCAGTATAAACACTGGTCTTAGACAGGGGTAACTCTGTACAAGACTACAGTGTCGAACTACCACATTTCCTTTGCTACAGGTATTAATCGAAACAGACTTCCGAGAGATTAAAGAGTCTCAAACCCTGTATTCCCACTATACGGAAAACTCCACCTGTTGACTTTCTCACCATCATAAAACTGTTTAGAAAAAGCTATTCTCGCCAGGACAAAACGAGCCTGCCGTCCACGTGTACTACTAAGGCACCCAGACGCACTTTCCCCCAGCCAGAAGTTACAAGGCCGAGATCCTCACAACCCCATACCACAGGCCCAGCGACGCCAAGCGCGACCGCCTTCGCCTGGCGGGACCAAGCCAAAGCCGGGCCCACACAACCACTCTTACCTTCACGGCCACCGTGGGGGCCGAGTCGACTGCAGGCAGGAGCGCCTGCTGGGCAGAAGGAACCGAGGCCAGGTGCAGCACCGCGTCCCCAACAGCCACCTGCGCCGAGTGGCCGGCCCTACCCTCAGCGTCGGAGCCAGAGTCTGAATCCGAATCGGAGCCTCCGTACGAAGCGAGCGCAGCGATGGCGGCCGACATCTTGGCAAGACGGAAATGGCCGAGCGCCAGGAGGGAGGAGCGTCCGTCGCATCCTGGAAGCTGCATAGAAAGTATCTTCGAATCTTATCTCGCCTTTCGACGCTATGTTCACTCGTCCACGATTACTAACTGTAAGTATTCAAAACGCTCTTCTAGAAACATAGTCTGTTGTCAAAGTGCGTAACAGTAATGCTGCCCTGGTATTAACTGCCTCCCTGTCAATATACCCAGGGTTATAAACTGGTCGCTCCAAAAGTTTCCACTAGCACACATACTTTCCCCCACGCAGCCCTGAGGAAGAAAATGTAAGTACTAGGCATAATGGGTGTCATCCCTGGTCCTCTATGCCTTGCAACAAAAGCCCCTACCCCATTTTTAGGAAAAGAATAATACAAGTTTAAATTTTACGTTTGTATCTGAAACTTACATAATAATAATTATTTCACTATCCACTGTAAACGCAGCAGATCCCAGTGAAAAAAAATATGTAGCTAGGGCTTCCTTTGCGAGTAACTTCAAAACTAGTGTGTATTAGTTCCAGGATGTCTTAAAACAAATGACACTGAATGGATACATTGGTTTATTCCTGTGGCCATTGGGAAGAAACCAATTCAGTGTAATGGCCACTTTATATGAAAAGGAGAAAACTTCAAACTCACACATTCTAACATCCCAGATTAATGCCCAGAGCACTGCAATTTTACAGCAGCCCAATCCCAATGACCGTTTACATAGCCGTAAATCCCCTTAATCTCAAAAGGATTTAGTAACAGATAAGTCCGTTTAGATAACTTGCAGCCTTTATTAGGGAGTCATGCCTCCGTGTTCTGACTTTTCGGGTAAAAGGATTCACTTTTCGAGTAAACGCGACACAAGCTGCGAGCAGCCCAAACCTATTTACGTTTTCTCAGAAGTACATCGACGGTGGTCGACAAGACTTTCTCAGGACGCTTTTCTAACGCAAGCGTCGCCTTCTTCTGCTTTGTAACACCTTTCCTTTCTAAGCAAGAGCAGTCCAAAAACAAAGGAAGAAGAAAGACACAAAATTAACCCACCCAAACACTTTTTTTGGCAAAGAAAGGAGAGAAGAGCCTAGTTACATCCCAGCGTGCAGCCGTCGCTCCTCGTCTCCCTGGAAGAGACGCTAGTTCCACCTCCTCGTATTTCAATATTCAATCTGATTGGCTGCCAGAAGCCGGCTGCTGGAGTAAACGCCGCAATAGTTCCAGCGCTACCGCCCTACCTCTCTTTCACCGTCACATCCCAACTGGCTTGTACCACCCGACAGCGTGCGGGGGGAGAGGTATCAGGGAAGGGAATGTAGGTTGCCCTGCGTCTCCCGGTTCCTTCACAATGCGTCTCAAGCAAGCTGCAGGACCGCCGGTCAGGTGGTTGCGTAAACAACACCTTCCTCCTCCTTTTCCATCACTACCCCCACCCCACCCCTTCCAGGAGAGAGCGCTGGAGCCGAAGAAGCCCCGCCTTCGACACACTCACTCTCTCACACACGCGCGCGCGCAGCGCTCCGTATGCCTATTGTGAAGCTTTGTGCGGGGGAAGCTCTGCGTTCTCTCTCTCCCCCCCCTCCCCTCCTTTTCTTTCTTCTCCCGCCTCGCGCTTTCTTCTCTCTTTCTCCTCCCGCCCCCTCTGGAATTCTCACAAGCGCCTGTCCGCGAGTGGGGCTGTTGAAAGGAAGCGTTCGAACTTCAGATCCAAACGGACCGGGTGTGTGTGTGGGGGGTACGTTTTGGCGTGAGCCCAGCAGACACCGACAGGGGAGGCGACTGGACGGCGGCAGGGATTGGTATGAAGATGTGAAGGGACTGCGCTGGGTATCGCTGCTCCTGGGAAGAGAGAGACGGTGAGTGCCGTGCCGCCCCGCATTCACCGCAGTACCCCCCCCCCTTCAGTCGCCGCTCTGGCGCGAGTCTCCCCCCCCATTTTACTCACGCCCCCTCCCCGCGCAGCAGAGCGCGCGACCTGTCCTCTGTAATTCCATACCACGCGGGGGAGGGGGCGGTGGGGAGGAGAAGGAAGAGGTCTTCCCACCTATCCTGCCATCTCCTGTGCACCGAGGATGGGGAAGCAGGAAAGGAGGGGGTTGGTGTCAGTAGCTCGTTTGTTCTCCCTTCGTCAGGTTGGGACATGGGGTCGCTTATGGTTTAGGCTTAAATATATATCTAAGCGCCCCCTCCTCTCCTCCCCTCCCAAGAAAATAAGATGCCGGATTCGGTGTCAGTGAACAAGAGGCTGCGGTCAAGAGGCTACTTTTGAAATCCCCTTCCATTAAAGCGATTGTGTTGGATGAGTTAGTGACTCGCCAGCTCTCCATCTGTTTGAGCTTTCCTTTGGTTTTTCTCTAGATATAACTCTTCCTGGAATAAAGATGCTCTTTAATATATGGTTGCCCATCTTCACGTTTCATTCCCCTCCCCATATATACATAGCTGTAATTTCGGATCATGTTCTCAAGATCACTTACAGTGACATCCTAAGCAGAGTTACACCCTTCTAAGCCCATTGACTTAAGTGGATTTAGAAGGGAGCAACTCTTTATAGGACTGGACTGTTAATGTGAATTTATTACCACCTCCCACTGGCTAATTACCTTGTACTTGCGGCTGAGAAATGATAAAAAGGTGGGTTCTGTCTCCCCACTAAGAGATGATGAGGAATTTTTGATCTGCTGTCTGTGACTGTATAAAATCACAAGATTATATTTGCTGTGTTATTTGGTTTCATTGAGATGGAGGGTAGAGTGGTTACAGTATGGCTGTAAAGGATAACACAAACGATTCTTGGGATGTATATCTTTCTTTAAGTTTCACATACTCTGTGAAGCCCTCTGCAATCTAATGATGGAGGGTAATTCCCTGTGTAAATGAAGTGGCCTAGATGATGTGAATATGGGGTGGAGGGTTATAATGCTTCATTTCTAGGTGTATTTAAATGATGGAGATGGAGGAGGCATTGCGGGCCATGGCCAGTCATCTTCTTCCTGTTTGTTGAAGTCTGTTTGAAAGGATAAAGATGCAGTGAATTGCAACCAGGTTTGAAATGAAACTAGTTTTCTGACATGTGCCTTAAACATAGCTTTAGAGACTGCTGTCCTGGCAACAGTCAACATGCACACATGTATAAATGTGTAGTATCTACAAAGCATTCCTTTTAATGTATCTGTTCTCTTGTGGTTATTGAAAAAAAATTGTAATATAAAATTGTCTCAACTCTGATTTTAAATGGGTATAAGCCCACCCACTCTCATTTATTTGTACTCCCAGTAATAATATAATAATAGGGTTAAATCACTTCTTGACTTGTACTTTTTCATGTGTCCCATAATTTTGACTTGTGTTTTGGAAAGAAATATAGTACACCCATCATGCATGGCATCCATTTAGAGTTTTTAAAGCATTTTGACTCCTTTTGTAGGCAGCAGTACCCTATACAAACTTGGAAACCCAGTGCAGAATAATATGCTGTACATTTTTATTTGTAAACATACAATCTTATCTGAAGGTGTCTTTGTAGTATTTTAATTGCATTTTTAAGCTTTTAATTTTGTCTCCCAAAGTCTGAGTACTGTGCATTTGATGCTATTATTTTAAAGATGATAAAATATGATTTTCTAAAGTTAATCTTGTATGTCTTATTTAGATTGCATTGCACTATTTCTTTCCATAGAACAAGTTTCCATTTATTTAGCTTTGCACAGAAGTTGATGGGTTGTATGGTGTAAGGGCTGATAAAATATGTTTCAGTACCTGTCTGAGGTCCAACATAGTAATGCTGTATTTGGAATACTGTACTGTGTATGTTCTATGCTATGCAAAGTAAAGCCAAATCTCAAGAATTCACAGCGATAAGTGTATAAAATTTGATCTTGGGTACTGTCAGTTTCATAATAACAATATGACTTGTATATGTCAAAGAATAACCGTTCTGCTGAAGGTTTCTTATGATCACTCCTGCATAGAGAGAGCTATGCTCTGTTTATTACTATTTGTATTCGAAAAGATCATGCCCTGAATGTGTCTTGAAAAGTTGCTTCAATACCATGCATAAAACTATAGCTTTATTTTGTCAAGGAGCTGCGTTGTTTTTATCATTTAGCAGTGAAAACTGAAATATGCAGTTCAGTATATGTGAATATAGTAAGTACTGTTGTCTTGAAATTATATGCTTTTGCTGTGAAAACTCAGACTATAGTATCTTTTGCCTGTTTTAATTGCAGTCAGGTGTAGTATGTGTCATCCCTTTTAAGTGATGTGATGAAAACTTAATATGATTTTTATCTAACTTTCCTAAGCTGTGAGAGATGGACGTCTATGGAGATCTTATTTATTATGTAATATATCTGTGTTCTTATCTCATTTCCAATGAGAAAGTTTTAGTGCTGAGCTGCTGAATGCTAACAAGAATGGACTTTAAGAGTGAAGAAGTATTTTCTTAGGACAAGCAAATGCTTGGAATTCAGAAAATGTTAGCTGTCCTCCAGAATATCATTTTACAAACTTGAAACTTTCAGGGGCTATAAGCTGTGGCAGCTGATCCTAGGGCATACAAGATAGGACATGTAAATTGAATTTGAATACTTGCTAGTACATGTTGGTATACATTCCCAAGGGTTGTTCTGTAATTGGTGTCATATGCCTAATGAATTTGGTGGTTCTTGATCTGGCCATTAGAACTTAAATATACAAACAGCAATTAAAGTATCTGGCAATTAGTGGATGCTCCCTTTACCTCCCTCTACACTGGTACACAAAGTGAATGAAAGAAATGTGAGTCTCATTGTAAGTTGTGTTCTGCATTGGACTTATATATACTTGGATAAAGTTGCTGTCATTAGCTGTTGAAAGAAGAATGTGACATGATTATGCAAAACTGACAATATTTTTGGAAGTACATCTTTGCCCAGGGATATCCATGCTTTTTGTGTGGCAGGCCAGAGTGAGGAGAACATGAAAATGGCTCATCTTACTGTTTTGCTACTGCAA